GGAGTCGGGGGGGGGGGGGTTGCTCTCAAAGTCACAGCTCCTGGAGTCAGGAGACCATATAAGAACTTCATTTTTATTTTATTTTTAAAGAACGGAATTTTTACTCCTTTCCACTGCAGAAAAAAGCCTGAAAAATATTGTCTAAGTGCACCCTGAGACTGGAACATCTGAGATACAAAAAAAATCAGCTTTATTTTGTCCTTATTGTTTAACCGAGGTTGTGATTTCTGGGATGTCCGAGATTTTAAAGGTGGTGTGTGGATTCTGGAGTGCTTCAGTTGCCCCTTCTTTCACTTCAGCATCTTCAGCCAAATGCGGTAGGCCTCCCTGTTGAAACTGGAAATTTAAAAGAAACAGACAATGGCAGTCTCCTACCTTAACACCGTCCTTCGGCCACACAAGCCCCTTGGCCAATTGGAAGAGAGTGCTCTCAACACAAATGCTACATAGGACAGTTAAAAATCACCTTACACAGGCTGCCAAGCAAATTCTAGCAACAGAGAATGTGCCAGAGATGGGGCTGGGGCAAGGAGAGATGTATTAGGGTGCGATCGTAGTGTAGGGTGCTAGTGCCTGATCAGCACTACCATAACTTGAACCATCTGCCTAAATTATACTGGAGGCTAACCATCAGAATAAGATCAGGAAAGTAAAAGCTATCTTTAGTCCTTTTCTCCTTGGGATGAGTCTGGCTGGAGATGAAGCATACGGCGTCTATATTCCTTTACACCTATGTTTCTTCTCGCTCGCATTTCCACGCTGGCCAGAACAGAGAAAGAGAAATACATCAACATATGAGCTATCAATGGAATCAAGTCTAAATTTTAAAAAAGAATAAAAATAGTCATTTTCAGAGGGTTTCTGGTTGAAGGATGCTTGTCAGAGTGCAAGAAAAAAGGAGCAGTTGTTCTGACACAGCAGTTTTGACATTCTTGTCAGTGATTTAAAGCAAGAGAGTTGATGTGCATTAAAAGCAGTAGTAAGGTTGGAAAATAGTTTGGATGATGCATGCAGCAATGTTTAAGTGATGCACCCAGCAGTGTTGGTCTGAGTGTACATAAACGGAACAGTATTTCTGTGTTCAAATGATAATTGTAAAAACAATGGCATCTTTAACACACAAGATCACACCCCCCCAACCTCTCCTCCCCCCATGGAATAAAGGACACAGAGAGACCGATTATTTCTGGAGAAACAGTCTTATAACAAACATTGAGAGCTAGAGTGAGGAGGAGAATTAAGCAAAAATTTTCCTGAAAAAACAGTTTTCTTAGAGCTCTGATGGCCCAGTGTCTAAATAAGATTTGGGCTTTGGAGAAGGGCCACCTGGCTGAGTCTCAGTACAGAGACAAGCCTGAGGTAACATTGGTAAGTTTGGGGAAACAAGCATAAGAACTGGCAAGGCTTCTATTAACACCCAGGCCAAGAGAATGTGCCTACCATTTTGAATAGAGATGTGCAACTAAAAAGTCTTTTAGCCCTTTGACTGTTCCTTAATGCTCAAGTAGCACTTTGTAGCTGGGAGGACTGTTCTCTTTGGTGGAATGTGCATCTAGATAGAGTTATCCTTGCCTTTCTCAGAAGATTAGATGGTGATGGAAACTTTTCATCATGACAATTTTGGAGAAAAAGGGCATTTCTACAAAAATTAACCATTTCATTTTTCAAGTATTGTGGTTTTTCATTGAAGGGGAAAGCTATATCCCCAAACCTACCACCCATGCTAGTGAGGGAAGTAGGCATCTGGTGGGCAAGGACCAGAAGTCCCACCTGGGCTCTTATGGTCCAAAAAGAGGATCAGGTTCAGAGCAGAACAGAAGTAGCAAGCCAATTCAAACTAGATTCCCAGAAGCATGGTTTAGTCAAGACCTCACTTACTCTACAGTTCTGCAGGCACAGAATTTGTCTTGCTCAAAACTGAACTCCAGAATCTCAAACTTTATTCTTTTAAATGAGTTTTCTAGCCCTCAACTCATAAGTGCAAGGGGGAAAAAGCAACTTGCATAATATAAAGAATCAAAGTCTCCCTGGGTGGGTCTACATTTGAAAATAATTTGACACAAACTCCAGCACAGTTCATGCCAGAGTTTATTACTCCTAGGTCCAGCATTTACATGTGCACCTAGGACCGCAGCATGTTGATCCGGGGCAAAGCAGCCCTCGCTGGCAGAGGGCCCCATGGGTCAGCCTGCCAGCCCAGGGCTGCTCTGACCTGGCTCAACGTGCTACAGAGGAGCTAGCTGCGGCACAAGGGTGCTATAGCGTGGGGCTAGCCGGCATGCATTGTGGAGGAGTGAATAACTACGCCATTGGATAGTACGTGTGTTGGGCAGCACTATCCTACAGTGGAGTTAGCTAATTTACTCCAACCTAAGGGCACCATACATGTAGACTCGGCTCCTTTACTGCAAAGCTAATAAGTCAGCTCCGCAGTAAACGTCCCAAGTAGATGCACCCCCTGAATCCAACTCTAATGCTTAACTTCTCAGAGGTTCTTAGGCTCTCAATAGCCTACATCCATCAACTGGGTGCAAATTACGTCTCTTGTTTTTCGCAAGCAGAAAACCCTGGCTTAGTCTCCTAGCTTCTAGAGAGGGTCCACAGTTTAGGAATTTGAGGAGCAGGTAGCACCTGCCTCACCAGGAATCAGTTCCTAGCTCTGATCAAATCCCAGATTTCTCTCTTAATTTCACTCCTGCCTAATTTAGGTGCTTCCTGATCATGTTGTTTCTGAGGTGCCAAATTTACTCCACGCACTCTATGGAGAGTTTGGGCATCTAACTAAGGGCTGAGGATTTCACTAAGGAAGGAGCCTAGGAATGTGGTGTTACAAATCCTGAATACCTTTAAGGATCTAGCTATTAAGTGCTTCCTTTTGGGAAACGAGATAATGAAAAGGTGGACGAGTCTAGCTTTGGTTTTTGCTTTCAATTGTTAAAATCAGCTTTACTCAGCTCCAGGGAGACTATTTAAACTTCCCTGTAGCTTCAGGACACCTGCAATTCCTAAAAGAGGAAAGTCTAAATCATAATGACTTTAGTGCAAATAGCTGCAACTCCGAAAGCCAAAGCAAATGGAAATTCTTGGCGCAGAACTCAAAGGTTGCCCCTTCCTGCTGCAAGTCTTGCTCAAGTTTACCACTCTGCTATTACAAATTCAACCCCCAGCAAAAAAAAATCTGTTATCACTCAGCATATGCAACTGCTAAACATCCCATTCAATATAACTTCAGCCTGTTCTGAGAACTACATTTCAGTTTCTTTATACAGTATCTGTCAGATATTACCAGTAAGATTACCATAGTCTATATAATATATTTCCACCATAAAAATTATTATATAGACAATTGTACTTTTTACTGCAAAGTAGGAAAAAATAATGCCTTTAAGTTTCACTCTCCAGATGTTACAAAGGAAATGTTACATTTCCTTTATAGTTGCTTAGGGTCATTTCTATCATGCAATACATCCCAGCACTTTCATTTTGATGTAATTTCTTGAACCTACAATTTATAAAATTGTAAAACTATAAAACTATTACATCTCTTTAAGGTATTTCTAAAGCATCATGCCAAGTATCACAACTAGAAACCAACATTCCATGCTTAAAATCCCTGCTATACCTGCATCTGAGCATTATATTTAAATGCAACACTAAATACTATTTTTTTAATTCTTCCTTGACCACAGTAATCAATAAGATAAATTCAGGGAGGGTATAAGCAGATGCTGTGTCCATAGAAATCTAAGTGATATATAAACAGAGAGGTGAGGGGGTTGCTTTAATCAGCGAGCCACACTAATTAAAAGCACCCAGTTGTCACGTGTATCAGCATCCCCACGCTAAAAAAAATGGCAGCGGGGCACTTTGAACTACAGCTCAGTCGATGAGCTTCAGTTCAAAGTGCCCCTTCACCATTTTTCAGAGCAGGGACGCTGATACACGTGGCATTGGAAACTGGTGGAGCGCATTAATTTCCATGCTCCAGCAAAGTCAATTAATTGAGTCTGCTCTGATGCATTGGATTTACACCCTGCATGTGTGCAAGTGCCCATAGATACTGTAATAATGAAAAGTCAAAGAGACACAACCTGGCCCTTTTATTCTTTTTTAAACCTTGTTGGTACTTGTTTTGACTTGCTGCTCCTTCCTCCTTTCTGTTCCCTGTGAGGGTGAGGGTGAACTGTGTTCCTTTTATGTACCAACTGAAAGCCAGAGCACTACACATTACACAACACCATCATTTGCACCTATTTTTTGAACAACTTACAACTGATACATAGCTTATGCCATTGCTCATATCACTGCCAATTATAGACTGGGATTTTTTCTTAAGGCTTACAGTTTATGCCTGTAAAAATACAGCAATTAATGATATCATCTAGTCCTTCTAGATATGTTCCTGAGACAATGAAAATAAAAGCAACATTTTGATGTTTTAAACACCTCAAATTAAAATTAGGTTTGGTCTTGTTATTAAAAATCATACAAGCAACAAACAGAACATTGCTTTTTCCTCTGTGGTTTCCTCAGTCAAATAATCTGTGAATGTCAGGCAATTGAAAGTAAGGCATACATTGCAGCAAATATTACCACTGTGCTTAAGACAGTGTGGCCTAAATGTATTCTTATCAAGCAGGCATGTGCTTTTCTATAAGCATATATATGGCATGTGCAGAATGCTGACAGCTTCATATCTAGATAGAAACTTATATTTCAATACAGGCACTTTCACAACTGGAAATGGAAAAAGTTTTACATTAGGATGTTACTTACTTCATGTCTTTGTCCTGGGAGAATGCAACTAACAAAAAAAAGAAAACACATTTAAAGTCAGACATTAGATATGCAAATATGTGTTCAGATCAGAGATACGAAAATTATTCAAATGATTAATTATTCATCATAAAAATGTCAATTAATAATTCTGAAGCATAATAGGCATCTTTCTAATGCATCTTTATTTTCAGGCCTAAACACTGTTGAATCTGTGTTCAATTGCGTTCTAACAAGTTTTAAAACATTTAACAAAGTAAACAACAAACTATACACAAAAGTGAGCAGCGAATTTTAATAACCACCAACTCAGCCAAGAAATGTGCCCAAAGTTCAGCATCAATCCCACAAGAGTAGAAAGAACAACTACAGCTCATTATGCCAGACAACAAATCCTAAGCAAGCATCCTCACCCACCTACCTAAAATTGCAACATCCCACTCTCAAAGTCACTGTCTCTTCCTTATTTAGCAAGAGGAGCAGTTTGTATCCTGCAAAAGGTTGAACGCCAATTCTTCTCTATGGAGAGTCAGATATTGCAACCATAAGTTAAGCAACGCTAAGCTAGCTCACAAGTGATTTTATAAATGATAAAATTAACGAAAACATATGAGAAAGGTTTGCCTTCTGCATGGAAAAACTCCCAGCAGATCAAGTATTACAGGGATCAGCATATTAGAAATGCCTACAGATAGCAACATTAAATAAAGGCAGGCAGCTCTTGCCTTTGGTTCAGATCCTACCCAGCAGACGGGCCTAAAAATTGTGATTGCTAATTGCAGAAGTTTCTTCTGAAGTACCCCAGCAGCAAATAGGAGGCTATTCTCTGAAACCCCTGCTGCAGAAAAGGGAAAAGAGGCTTGGCTCTCTAAGCTTCGGGATTTGCATGAAGGAGTGGGGACCCACTTGAGGCCTCAGAAGGTTGTGCAACTTCCTACTTATCTCCTCACGGGAGAAACCACTCCAGCATGGCTCCTTTCCTCATCCCCTTACTCCCACAGGTGGCTGCACAAAAAGCCCCAGTCCTCTCACTTGGGGGGACCTACCATAGCCTGATCAGATGACATTTCTGCTTGAAAATAAACTGGGACCTTCGGGGATCTCACAGTTGCCAGCAGCATTGCCCCATTGTATTCCTCTCTCCACTTCTGCCCTCCAGTGCTCAGCAGTAACCCAATTCTACAGTGAGGGATGACAGCAGATAGAAGGGAAGCTAAATGTTCAGTTTGGCCACTAATTCAGTACATCACGCTTAGTTCCCCATATTCAGACCCTGTCCAGACTAGAGGGGAAAAAATCCACGTTTTAAAGGCATCGGCTAATATGTTTTTAATCACTGGTGCAGTAAAGGCTTAACACCTTTCGAGAACATACAAGATATGCCCCTGGGGTCCTCCATGACCAGGGCTTTTTCGAAGTCTAACTAGTGTTATTTAAAACATGTTCCTGTGTTTTAAAATGCTAGCTATTTTTCTCAGTCCACAGGTGGCCTGGGAGAACTAATTACGCATGGAGGTGCTTGATTACAGGCATCTTAATATGCAAATTGTCCCTCTAATTCCCCTCCCCTTATTTTCCAAACAGCCATAAAGTTTGCACAACAAGCCAACCGATGGGGATGCACACGCAGCAACGGCAGAGATCACACCTTTGCTACTTGTGACTAAAACTCAATTCATGAGATGAAAATGAAAACCCCTTGGCAGTAGCACAAATGACACTCTCTCTGCAGCCCAGCCTATCCGTGCTGGGGTGGGTCACAGAGAATTAAAGGCAAAAAAAAGAGAGAGAGAGAGAGACAGCGAGCCTTGCTTTTCCAAATGACTTGTCCTTTGTTGCGGCAAAAAGCGAGAGAGATTCTCCTGCCATCCTCTGCCTCAAGTTTCTCATAAAGCCATTATTGATGGAAATTTCAGAGTAAGGCAAAAGTCCTCCAGGGCCTAGCTAACCCACAGGCGCCTGCAGCTCCCTAAAATGAACCCGGGTGCTAAGCGATCCCCAGCACCCATCCCAGCCCTGCTGCGGGCTCGTCCCCTTCCCACCACCCTGATGGGCTCTGCCCCGGCTCTCCTGGGCGACCCCCACTCCCAGCCCCTTTCACATGCTAATGCGCCCTTAGCAACCCCTCGGCGGCGAGGCTCGCGACCGCATGTGGCCGATAGCCCCTTGCTCCCAGCCCCTGCGACCCCACAAACCGGAAGCGGGGGGACGAGCTCACGTGATTAGAAAGTAGGTGGTGGTGGTGGTGGTGGAGGAGGGCAGCCCCCGGGCAGGGGCGGGGCAGGGGTCTGCACCTCACGTGTGATGGATGCAGTTGACAAAGGGGGAAGCGGGCGGCAGCAGCCCCGCTTTGCAGCAGGAGCAGCCTGCTGGCCCCCAAGTTCCCTCTGCCGGGAAAGTGGTGGCCCCCACAGAGCCGGGGCTGACCCCCCGTGCCCGGGCGGAGCCGCGCCTTGCACAGAGGGGCTCGGGCTGCGCTCGCTCCTGATGCTGGGGGAGAAAAACCTCCTCGCCAAGTTGCAACCAGAGCGAAGGAGACTTCAGGGGGGAGGGAGCCGGGGGTGGGGGTTAATCTAATTGCAATCTGCGTTCAGCACTTGTGACAGAGTCAGAGGGCTGCCTGGCCAGCAACTCCCCAGTAAAGGCAGTATCTAGAGACTATCATTATTTCCATATTTTAAAGCAGCAGCCCGCCCATTATTAGTTCAGTGCAGGGCAGGAAATCAGCGCATGGGCTAAGGTTAAATTCCAGCTCAGAAAGGCTTGAGTGATTGCTAAATGTTTGTGTCTTGTGGCCAAAATACAGAAATAATTACCCTTCCACACCACGCTAAAATAATGTCTGAGAGAGGCTGAAGTGCTGTGCCAGTCCAGCGAAGATCAGAGCATTTTATCTGGGGGATGCATCTCTGCTGGGGTGCTTTTAGGAGTTGCAGAAATTGTCAGCCTGAAGGGTGAAGGAGAGCCTACAAAATTATGAACAGAGATTATTTGACGGTACAAAAGTATTCCCTAAAGCCCAGGAGCATCGTCCTGCGGTCTGGTTGCCCTCTGTGCTCCTTTCAGAGCTTCTTTTAAATAGAAATAGATACACACACACACACACATATATGTTTAATTATAAAACATCGATCGCAGTATTACTGCAGGTTAGGCTGCATCCTCTCTTAATCCTCCCACCGACCCTCCTATTTTATAATCTGGAAGTGCATGAATAATATGTAAGGCGTTTGTAATGGGATTAATTTATTTTAAGAACTTGTTTTCCATGCAGAACGTGGGTGACTGGAAATCGGACGACTCAGTAATTGGCATTCACTTGTTTTTTTATCATATGCATCTAAATTCAGTTTAGCTCTTTAAGAAATTGCCAGCCAGCCCTTGATTTATAGGCAGTGTCTTGTGGATCTGAGAGGATCTAATTCAAATTAATAATACTTTGAATCTGATTTCAGGATATTTGCCCAGTGCCATATATTTCATTAAGATATTATCGCTCTCCTATATAGCTCTGTATCTCTGCCTTGATCTAGCTGTAGGTATAGCAAGATACAGCTAGATCGCACATAATGCAGGCACATAATTTTGACATTCAGTACAGAGTTGTGCCAAAAGTTTGACCACAAGTCGTCCAGCTTCCCCCTTCTCCTCCACCACCACCACCCCACAGGAGGGCAACAGACCCTTTCCTCTCACTAGCCTAATTACTGAGTTCGTTTCTATCAGTTCACCAGAGTTTTAAATGAATACATAACTGGCAGCTCTTAAGAAACCCACTCTTTAATGTTTATAACGAGGCTTGCAGACGATGCAAGAAGAGAAATGTTTCATTAGCTCTTTCATTAGGTCGCTTGCACTTGTTCCCCCCCTCCCCTCCCCTCCCACAAGATTTCTAAAGTCCCTAGCCCTTAATTTGGACTGTGGACCTGACCTGAGAGAAAGGTGACCGGTGTGTTGAAAGAGACAGGTTAGTAAGCTCCTCTCGTAAAAGCTTGAAGCCCTTCCTTACTCAGGGAATGACAACAGGGAAACAGCAGGAAAAACAAACTGAGCTGAGGATCTGATTGGAAAAGGGGGGAAAAAATCTTGTGGCTATTGCTGTAATATCTGCCTGCACTAAAGAAATCTCAGGTTTCTGCTAACGCTATGCTTTTATTCATTAGTTGCACTGACAGTTACGGTCCCCAGATGTATCCAAATTGTACACTGCACCCAACTGCACACTTCCAGCCTTCTCCCCCAAAATGTGTATGATCGGGCGGTTGCCAGAACAAGCAAACTCGGATTAGATTTATTTAAAAGAAATGCTAGAGGAGATTTATTAGAAGATAAAAATAATCATCAAGCCTTAGTGGAGCTGACGATTTTCAAATGCACGTTGGATTTGAATTCCTTGGCAATGTTTAATCATCACAAAGGTGTTCCCTGATCAGGAGCATTTTTGAGGGCAATTGCTAGTGACTATTGCTAGCATTCCAGTTCTTGCTGTAGGCACACATTCAATGCACAGTTCAAGAGCAGTTTATCTTAGCTTAATGTAAGTAAAAGTACAGTGTCGGATCAGTGTACCATTGTTTCAGTTTTCTTCAGGAGGGGGAAAAAAGGGCTGTAATAGATTTAACTGTCAAAGCAGGGGAATTGTTCCGGAGCCCACTAGTGCAGCCCTTTGGGCAGCTCCACGTTTACCTTCAGAAAGGATCATGCTAGCATGCAGGATTGGACGTTTATCTTTGCACTGAGATTATTTAAAGCTCTTTTAGAGAAGGAAACATATGTGGGGTCTGAGGGAAGCTGGGAAGGAACTGATCGAGGCTCAGAGTTTTTTCCCCCTTTCTCAGCTGAACGTCTTAGCTCAGCATCCACAAATTTGGCTGCTTTGAGTTACTTCTGTATTAGTTCCCAATTATGTGCAGTGTAAACCAGCTTTTTGATTAACAAAACAGCAGAGCATTGGTTAAGAACACTTAAACTTCAAAAAAAAAAATCCCCCTGGGAAGTGGGCTCTGAATTGGTTAATAATGTGCAGTACTTGCTAAATTGCTGACTTCCAGATGTGGAAAATATCTTTCTTGTTTAGGACCTACGTAACCTGATTGGATTACGACAGAAGCGTCACATTGGAAGGCTTTTGAGTGATGATTTAATTAACCATACAGTAGAAAGCAGTATTCGCCAGGAAACCCCTTCCATATTTGCATAACCAATCCCTTCAGTGCAAAGGTGGAGTCTGTTCTTCTTTTTTTTAATTTTATATTAATTTTAATATGGAAAAGAGGTGAAAAACTTGTTACCCCCTGGAAGTTCAACACCGCATGCTCACTGCTTCTCTGCCTGTCTACCTGCCTCTCTCTCTCTCTCTCTCTCTCTCTCTCTCTCTCTCTCTCTCTCTCTCTCACACACACACACACACACACACACACACATGTG